GTGCATTCGTTGATGCATTTTTCGTGTTGTTCGCAGACAACGCTGTCAATGGCGTCCCTTCGGTGAGCGCGCGGAACTGTGGTCTGTGTGTGTGTGTACCTGTGTGTGTGTGTACCTGTGTGTGTACCTGTGTGTATGTGTCTGTCTGTCTGCCTGCCTGTCTGTCTGTCTATCTGTAAAGCGACGCGAGTTGCTTCACAATCAGCAAAGCAACCACTTCCCCTGCGTCACCGCTCCAACTCACCGCCATTGCACCACTGCTGCAGTGCGCCAACGGCGACATCATGACTGTGATGGCCCGCGAGTCGTGGGGCTTCGACGTGAGTTAATGTCACATCCCAGCTACCACACGGAGGGAGAATATGTGTGTATGTGTGTCTCTGTCTCTACCTCTTTCTCTGTCTCTGTCTCTCCGTCTGTCAAGGGCACAAAGACATGCTGTGGGTGCTTATCATCGTGCGCAGCAGTCACTTATGCTGACTCGTTGATCTTGCTCATGTCTTTGCAACCCTGACAACTCGGTCACAGCATGGTACATTCACAAATCTTCACAAACACATCACACACACACGCAATACACTCTCTATTCCGTTCCCCCCCCCCACCCTCGGCCGTCTGCCAACCGCAGGGCTACATCACGTCCGACTGCGGCGCGGTTGCTGACGTACTCAACTCGCACAAGTTCACGCGCAACACGAGCGAGACCATCAGAGCGGTGCTGGAGGCTGGCATGGACACGGACTGCGGCTCGTTTGTGCAGCAGTACCTGGCAAAGGCGATGCAGGAAGGCGTGGTGCCACGCGAACTGGTCAACACTGCGCTCCACCGCCTGTTCATGGTGCAGTTTCGCCTGGGCCTCTTTGACCCCGTGAGCAAGCAACCGTACACCAACTACAGCGTGGCGCGCGTCAACACGCCGGCAAACCAGCAGCTGGCGCTGGAGGCGGCACAGCAGGGCATCGTGCTGCTCAAGAACACGAACGCGCGCTTGCCCCTCAAGACCGGACTGCACGTCGCGCTCATTGGCCCAAATGCGGTATAGCACGCATTGTGTGTGTGTCTGTGTCTGTGTCTGTGTCTGTATCTCTGTGTGTGTGTGTGTGTGTGTGTGTGTGTGTGTGTCTGTGCGTGTGTGTGTGTGTGTGCGTGCATGTGCATGTGTGCATGTGCATGTGTGCTTGCGTGTGTGTGCATGTGTCTGTGTCTGTGTCTGTGTGCGTGTGTGTCTGTGCGTGTGTGTCTGTGTAAGTGAGTAAATGCCTGCCGCCGCTTCCGTCTCTCTGTCTGTCTGCTTCTCTGCTTTTCTGCTTTTCTGCGTTCAAGCACCAGCAGTGTTGGCTCTACCGTCTTATTTGGGCATCGAGGTTTGATTGCTGACGTCACCCGTCCCCATGCTTGTGATCACGCCCGTTGTCATGTGCACGTGTTAGGATGCGACGACGGTGATGCAAGGAAATTACCAGGGCACCGCCCCCTTCCTCATCTCACCCGTCCGAGGATTCAAGAACTACAGCGCGTACGCTTTGCCCATACACGCGTGCACCCACGCAGTCACAGACGGATGATTGCTGTGCATCATGTTTGCACCTGCTCTTGTTCTCTGTGCAACCCTACATGCCTTTGTCAGTCACACACAAGCACGCACGCGCACGCACACATTCAAACACACGTGCGCATGCAATTGACATGTGTACAGGGCGGTGACGTACGCAAAGGGATGCGACGTTGCATGCAAGGACACCTCTGGCTTCGACGCCGCTGTTGCCGCCGCCAAAGAGGCGGATGCGGTTGTTGTTGTGGTTGGATTGGATCAGGGACAGGAGAGTGAAGGGCACGACCGCACGTCCATCACTCTTCCCGGACACCAAGAAGACCTCGTCGCACAGGTTCGCGCTGCCAGTCTTCGTGGTGTGTGGGGGGGGGTTCTGTCTGTCTGTGTCTGTGTCTGCGTCTGTGTCTTGTCTATGTGTGTGTCTGTGTGTGTGTCTGTGTATGTGGGTGTATATGACACGTTGCATTACCTTGCGTTGTGTGTGCCTGTCTTCCTGCCTGTCTTCCTGCCTGCCTGTGGGCCTGTCTTCCTGCCTGCCTGTGGGCCTGTCTGCATGTGTGTGTGTGCGTGTTCTCTTGGCTGTCTGCGGATTCTTAACGTGATTTCATTCACACGATACCACCTCATCCATCCACGCCGCAATCCTCCCCACACCCACAACGCCCGTTAGGTCGCTGCTGCTGCCAAATCGCCCATCGTTGTGTTTGTGATGACTGGTGGTGCTGTTGACTTGTCCACCATCAAGGCCAACAAGAACGTAGCCGGCATCCTGTGGTGCGGCTACCCTGGCCAGTCGGGTGGTCAGGCCATGGCAGATGTCGTGTTTGGCGCCGTTAGCCCCGGTGGGCGCCTCCCATATACCATTTATCCGGGATCATATGTTGACGCGTGCTCCATGCTCGATAACGGTATGCGGCCAAACAAGACGTCAGGCAATCCCGGCCGCACCTACCGATTCTACACGGGCAAGGTGGGCACCTGTGAAGGGCTGCGTGTGTGTGTGTGTGTGTGTGTGTGTCTGTGTGTCTGTGTGTGTGTGTGTGTATGTGTACGTGTGTGCGTGTGTGCGTGTCTGTGTGTGCGTGTGCGTATCTGTGAATGTGTGTCTGTGAATGCGTGTCTGTTTACAGGCTTGCACATGCTCACATGAACGTCTGCCTCCCCATCACCTGATGTCTCTTGCAGCCCGTGTATGAGTATGGAACAGGACTGTCCTACACGTCATTCTCGTATCACATCCACTACCTCAACACGATGGACACCAGCTTGGCAACCGTGCAGACATACGTTCAAGATGCCAAGCAGAACCACAAGTTCATTCGCTACGATGCACCAGAATGTGAGTGGAGTTAATTGCAACAACATTTTCCTCCAAAGTGCTTCATCGTTACACTCGCCTTCATAGCCTTCAACCTTGATTCGCCCTCACACACACACACACACACACACACACACACACACACACACACACACACACACACACACACACACACACACACACACACACACACACACACACACACACAGTCACGCGGGTGGAGGTGAACGTGACGAACGTTGGGCGCGTCGCCGGCGCGGATGTGGTGCAAGTGTTTGTTGAACCGAAGACACCAGCCGAGCTCGGTGCCCCCATCAAGACCCTCATTGGCTTTGAACGCGTATTCCTCAACCCGGGGCAGTGGACCATCGTCCAGGTGCGATTACTCTTGGCTGCTGCTGGCGTGCTTTGTGTCTGACGCTGCCTGGCTGCCTCTATGTTTCTGTGTCTGTGTCTGTTTCTCTGTGACTCAATGCATGTGTCTGTGCTTGTGTTGTATTGCACTCTTGTCTTGTCCCGTGCGTTTGAATGCACGTCAGATCTCAAAGCCCTCATCCACTGCTCACTCCCCAAAAACATCCAAACACTTCAACATATACATTTCAACACACGCACACTTGCACACTTGCACATAGTTCTCTGTCAATGCCCACGACCTGACGTTTGTGGACGCGTCTGGCAAGCGTGTTGCCCGCGCTGGGGAGTGGCTGGTGCACATTGGACACGATTCACGTCTCACCTTTCCCGTGCACGTCAACTGATGCCTTGCACTTGGTTGCCTTCCTCTCCATTCACATCCCCTTCCACCTTCTGCTCACGATACTGTTTCTCTGCTTTCGTTACTTGCAATCCATTACGTGTTGTTCACCTCCTCCAACGCTGACGTGTCTGTGTGCGTGCACCTTTGTCCGTCCCCATCACTCCTCAAGACAACGCGTTTGACACATTACATGGTGCATACCACAATGCTTCATGAAGCAATTTGTTTACAACTCGCATGGAGAAGAGAGCTACTCGCTGGAATCGGAAACCCTTAACGTCGCATACATGGTCACGCACCTCTAACCCTCAACGACCATGAAAAGGCGCTGTCACACATCCACATTCGCAGGCGCAGCATATACGTACTGACTGCCGCTTCCTCGCTCCCCTTCTGAGTAGTGTGGTGTGATTTGTGTGGTGTGTGTGTGAGTGAGTGGAGTGATGTGTGTGTGTGTGTGTGTGGAGTGATGTGTGTGTGTGTGTAGTGTGTGTGATGTGTGCGTGTGTGGTGTGATGTGTGTGTGAAGTCGGTGAATAACAAGTTGTTACAAAACACAGCGCGGTGCCACGCACATCGCATCACAACACACACGCACAAACTGCATGTGCAAGAGCCTCACCTCCGACGTCGTATGCTGCCGCATTCCACGCGTGCTCAGGCTGCGGTCCTGAGCTGCTGTCGCCGCCAACAGTTGACTGCACCACATCGTAGGCGCTTTCTCCACTCCCTGTCACCACAGCAACAGACCACAGCGCAAACCAGACGGGCCGTCAACACAGCCGAGGAAACAGTGGCAGATGCATTGTGCTTGGAGGTGTCGCGCAAGACGATGAAATGCGTGCGTGTGTGTCTGTCTGTCTGTGTGTCTGTGTCTGTGTCTGTGTCTGTCTGTCTGTCTGTCTGTGTGCGTTGTGCTTGGAGGCGTCGCGCAAGACGATGAAATGCGTGCGTGTGTGTCTGTCTGTCTGTGTGTCTGTGTCTGTGTCTGTGTCTGTCTGTCTGTGTGTGTGTGTGTGTGAAAGTGAGTGCGCGTGCGCTTGCCGTTGCCGCACCTCCAACATCATACGCCGTGTTGCTCCACGAGTGCTGTGCTTGAGGTGCAGTGCCATCACGCCGGTCAACAACGTCATACGTGCTCGCGTCCCACGTGTGCGCGGCGGTGGCTGTTGTTGAGCGACACAAACACAAAAGGGGGTTGAGTGGTGTCATCCACCAGAAAGCGCAAAATTCCGCACGAGCACACGCAAAGCAACACCACAGGGCGAGACATAACAAATATGAACACACGTGCAAACACACGCGCAAACACAGCAAACACACAGAAAAGCACACACGCAAACACACCCTCGTCGGTGCTGGTTGCGGCGCTGTAGACAGGATTCCTCTTCAAGCCCGACAACAGCACCGCTGGTGGTACACTGCTGCCATCACCATCACCGCCACCATCGGCGCCGTTCGTGCTCTCCAACAACACCTTCCCAGCCCGGCCCACTTTGCTGTGCACGCGCGTCTGTCGCCGCCGCCGCACAATGAGGACGACTACGAGTGCAGCCACCAGCACCGCCCCAGCGGCAGCACCAGCAATGATGGGGATGGTGCCACTGCTGCTGCTGCTGTTGCGACTTCCGCCAGCGAGCGCCGACGAAGACGACGTGCTGCTCGCCGTGGTGGTGGTGGTCGTTGCGGGGGCGCCTGGTGACGACGATGATGCTGCTGATGAAGGTGACAAGGTTGTCATTGTTGTTGTTGTTGTCGTCGTCGTCGTCAATGGCTGTGGTGGCGATGGTGACGCTGATGGTGGTAGGGACCCCGGATCGCTTGTGCTGGTCCCGTCCTGCACTGTTGTCTGCTCACTTGTCGAGGTGACTTCACCCACCGTCGTCGTTATTGCCGGCATTGGCGTCGTCGTGGTTGCGGTGACAGTCGTAGTCGTGGTGCCGAGAGCGACCGTCGCCATGGGTGTTGGCGGTGCAGGGATGCAGTTTTCAGCGTATTCCGTGCACCCGTACTCACAGATCTCGGCACAGTCTGTGCACTTGAACTGTCCTCGGTACGAGAAGGTGCGTGGGGGACAGGGAAAGCACCGTGTCTTGTCCTCCAGGCTGTACGTGTTCTCGGGGCAGGGGATGCATGACGGTGTGCCGTATGTTGGGGCAATGGCCCCATCGTGGCACGTAATGCACATGGACGTGTGTCCGCCGGAAAATGTGCCGGGTTCACACGGCGTGCAGCTGGCGAGGGCGTGCCCGGCAGGATCCGCGCGAAACGTTCCAGGTGGACACATCTGCACGTGCAGTGGCAACATTAGTCGTCGTAGTTGCAGGTGGCAGCAGCGAGCGTGAGATTGAAGCATGAGCAGACAGTGCAAGGCTGGTTTCGATGGAGGGTAGTCTGCAATGCCAGCAAAACATGCTTCAAACACAGCACGATGACAACAACAACGACACCAACAACAAAGACGACGACAACGACGACGACGATGATGACACGTGTGACAGCAACAACGTACATCGCACGAGGATGCGCCCACGTCCTTCTGGTATTCGCCCAGACCGCAGGGCGAGCAGCTGGAACCGGATGTGGAGATGAACCCGTTGGCGCACTTCCTGCACTCAAACGACTGGTGTTGTTGTCGTGGTGGTGGTGGTGGTGGTGGTGGTGGTGGTGGTGGTGGTGGTGGTGGTGGTGGTCATGGGGAAGGAAGAAAGAGCAATTGTTTCGATGGCAGGAATGGCTCCCAGGAGAACGGCAGTGTGCTTTGATCGGCATGACAGCACAACGCTGCCATACAACGCGCAAAGGAAGGGCCTCAAAGAACATTAGCTCACGTGCACAATATCTCACCGAGCTACCAGTAACGAGGTGGCCAGGCGGGCAAGTGTCAGTACACTTTCCGTTGTCCCGCAGCTTGTCAGCGCCCTTGGAGCATCAATGATGACGAAGAGGATTAGGAGGGACAAGGAATATATGACCATGTCTGCGCGTCTGTGTGTGTGTGTCTGTGTATGTCTGTGTGTGTCTGTGTGTGTCTGTGTGTGTGGGCCTGTGTGTGTCTGTGTGTGTCTGTGTGTGTCTGTGTGTGTCTGTGTGTGTGTGTGTCTGTGTGTGTGTGTGTGTGTGTCTGTGTGTGTGTGTGTCTGTGTGTGTGTGTCTGTGTGTGTGTGTGTGTGCACCTGACACGATGTGCACTGCACGCCACGCCGGTCGCAGGTGCCGCAGCCGGAACGGCACGCTGGTAAAGGCAGTTCAACCGCGCCGCGGCAACAAGGAATCGGTGAGTACGCGTGCTCATGTACGAAACGCGCGCACACATGCGCAAGCATACACCAACACACATACCCAAGCACATGCAAGCAAAGAGCCACAAAACAACGCATTCGCGAGAGAACATGCACATTGGCCTCATCATCAAACACACGTGTGCAAACTCACGGTAGCAGATGTTGATGTTGGGCTGTTGCTCGATTGAATCACGCGAAAAGCTGCCGACGATGGGGCAGCTGGAGCCGCACTCCGACATGGAAACTGATGCACAGGAACAGAGGATGCGCGTGATGGTGACGAGGATGGTGGGGATGGTGGTGGGGATGGTGGGGGTGGGGAGCTTGCAACCACGCCGAGCACAAGATTGGGCACCACATGTGCTTGCCAAGTCATCGCATCACATCACATCACATCAGAGGTTTCAAGACGGGGATCACCACTGACCGGTGAGCAAGTCGGCACCCGAACACGATGTGCAGACCTGATCATCCCCAAAGCATGTGTGGCAAGGGTCATCACAGTCTGAAACCAGACAAGTAAATATGTGAAACAGGACAGTAGCATCCCACTCCCGTTAGCTTGTTGGAAAAGCATGCTTATGCATGCACACGCGAACACGCTCAAACTGATGTCTGCACAATAGCACGTACACGTACACACGCACTTAAGCCCTCACCGCTGCATGTTGAGCCAGAGTCAAACTGGCCGATGTCGCACTCGGAGGTGCACGAAGGCGGTGCTCCGCCCTGAATGCACGTCAAGCACGTGTCTGCCGTGATCTCGCAAGTTTCGCAGTTGCTGCCACACTCTGCAGTCAGAGGCAGTGGGTGCGCAGGTGGGGATGTGAAGGTGGGTAAATGCGAGCGAGCAGGTGCGAGCAGATGTAAAAGAATGAAAATGTGAGTGTGTGTGTGTGTGTGTGTGTGTGTGCGTGAGAGAGAGAGAGAGAGAGAGTGTGTGTGTGTGTGTGTGTGTGTGGAGGTTGTGGTTTTGTCATCATCACCACCACCACCATTCACATTGATCTAAAACGGTAGTTGTGATGCGTTGCAAGAGCAAGCTGTTTTACGTTGGCATATTCCTTCTGCGTTCTTGAAGTAGCGGTAGGGGCACTCGGGTGTGCAGATCCCGTCATGGAGTGCGTGCGAGGCAATGCAAGATGTGCACTGCTCCTTGTCAATGCACGCTTCACATTCCTCAGGGCACGCTGGTGGCACGCATGCGGAAAATGAGCGCGGGGTGAGGACAGCACGAAAGGTAAGCGTGATCACAGTGGGAGATTGGACCACAATAGCCGCGCTCGAGGGTCGAGTTCAGGCCGTACACACGCATCCACACGCACACGCATCTACACACACACACACACACATTTACACGCACACGTACGCACATGTACACACACGCATCCACACGCAAACATACACATACACACACGCACGCGCATACACGCATTGACTCGCATGTGCATGTGCGATCGACGGATGTGCTGGGCGGTGAAAACTCGTATTCATGAGGACCACACTCTGAGATGGCTGGCAGACGATAATGCCGCAGTGGTGGTGGTGGTCGTGATGGTGGTGGTGGTGGTGAGAAAGGCTGAGTGTGGGTGTGGAAGATGTGTGGGTGCGCTAAATAGTGGCATATCATGTCACAATACACCACATGCGCTCGTGAGCGGGAGCACGAGTGGAGCACGAACACGGCTGACACTCTCGCAAGGCAACTCACGAACACAGAGGTTGTGGTGGACACGGTCGATGGCGTAATGATCGCCCGCGCTGACGCAATCGGTAAAGGTCACGCATGTCGTGTTCTTGAGAAACAGGTCGCTGCAACCGCAATCTGTGGGCACAAAGTCTGCATCCGGGCACGTCTGGCTCGTGCCGGAACTCCACACACACGCCCGGTCCACACCAGCGCAGTCACTGCAGGGATGCCAAGTGCTCATGAGATGGTGCAGTATGAACAAGAAAAGATGCACAAAGATAAGACATGCACACGCATAGAGAAGACACATGATCACACGCCCACAATTGTATACATGCGCAAATAGCACAGAAGACACACACACACACATACGCACACACACGCACACACACACACACACTCGTACACACACGCACATACACACACACACGCACGCACGCACACACACACACGCATTCGCACTCGATCTTGACGTGGTCCTGGTAGAAGTCGCTCCAGCACATGGTGTACGTGTTTCGGACAGGGCCGTCACATGTGTGCTTGCATGTCGGAAACAACTGCGCCACATCCACGCAGTTGTACTCTTGTGGATCTGTTGCGTGATATGGGAGGCACGAACAGGAGAATGGGGCAGGTTAGGGTGAGAGAGGATTAAAGGTTGGCGAACTGCTTCTAGGGCTGTTCCACTGCGTTCTAGGATGGGATAAGGAGGAAGAATAATGGCAAGAGCACAAGGAAGGCAGCGTACCTGGAGTAAACTCGATGTAGACATGGATTCTGTGCGCTGTGTTGAAGAACTGCAAGTTGCCGTTGGTCTGGAAGTCCGTCACCGTGAATTTCAACAGTGTTGATGATGCAGTCTGCAAGCTAATCTCCAACAGCTCCTGCATCGGTTGATGATGAGCACCAGGTCAACATCACATTGCGTCACAACGCACAGAACGAGAAGCATAAAGAGTATCACGCACATACACACACGCACGCACGCACGCACGCACGCACACACACACACACGCACACGCACGCACGCACGCACACACGCACGCACACACACACGCACACGCACGCACACACGCACACACACACGCACACACGCACACACACACGCACGCACACACACACACACACACACACACACACACACACACACACACACACACACACACACACACACACACACACACACACACACACGCACACACACAAAGCCTACTTACGAATGCAGCATTGGCAAAGACAAAGGTCTCGTTCCACACAGGTTCGGAGCTGGCAAACACAACGGCCGTGCTCTCTGTGCGATCGATCGTGCCCTCCTCCAGTCGCAGATCCACGTGTGTGTCGCGAGCCTGGCTGAGGGTTGCGTTGAGGACGGTCACCGTCAACTGGCCAACAAAGTTGCCTGCACAAGCACACAAAAGCATGATGTGACCGATCAGCAACAGCCACGAGTGAAACCACATAGTCCCACCAAACCCCACCCCGGAACAAGCCAGGTGTTCATCCATGGCGCATGTCCCTCATCCACCACGCCCCTCCGGCTCACCGTCCGCGGTGCCTGCGACGACAGCCCAAACAATCACCACCACCAACACACGCAGCGGCAGCGCGATCATTTCGATTGATTGGATAATTGAAAATGATTGGAGGTCCTTCTTGCTTCGTTTTTCTTGTTTGGCTAACGCGCTTTGCGTTCATGTCCATGAGTTGCTGTTGCTGTTGCTCCACACTGTGTTCATTTGTCTCAAATCACAACAGCCACAATGATGATGTCACACAGCACTCGCCAGCTCATATGTGCGTCGCACAACTCAAATGTAACTCAAGAAGAAGAAGAAATAGAAGTAACACATCGCACACAACAACGCACAACTGTCCACAATTCAACTCAACGATACAACGACACAAACACTCAAACCAACTCGCACATTGACCATTGGCACCAGCCAAGAACAAAATAAGCATCACCCACCATCACACATGCACATGATGATCGCGTAACTTGTCTGTGGATTTGGATCAAAAACGTGCCCTCCATTGCACTGCACTGCATTCACACGGCCGACTCTGCTGGCTCGGGTGTGAACGGCTCCACCTTGCCAGACTTTGACCACGGCTTGTACCACGTGTTAGTTGTGGTCTTCGTCTTGGCCTTGTCCGTGCTGCCACAGCTCGCTTCGCTGCCCCTGAACCCGTCAACTTCTGTCGTCCGAGACTTCACCCCGTACAGGTGCATTCGCGCTAGAACGATGAGCACGACAAGCAGCTGTGCCACGATGGTGATGTTCAGGGCCAGTGACGTGTCTGTTGTGGAAGCGGCAACCAAAGGGAGCAATGAACGTGAGCATGCGAGCGAACAAAAGCGTAACACACAAAGAAAGCAGCAGACAACATACCGGTGTCCCCTTCCAACAGCACACCAACGACACACAACACACACACACGCACGCACTCAGATACATGCATACACAAGTACACGCACGCACACGCACACGCACACACATACCCACACACACCCAAACACATTCACACACACTCAGATACACATATACACCCACACTCATACACACACATACACATATACACCCACACTCATACACACTCAGTACAAACACATGCACACACACACACCGCGCCCGGTCAACTAACTCACCAATCTTGAAGGAGTCAGAAGAGGAAGTGGAAGAGGAGGAGAGCGATGACGACGCTGCCGCCGCTGCCGCTGCCTGCGTCACATCTTCGCTGGACGGCTCAACCTCCACGCTCACCTGCGCGTCCGCCTTGGTGCTCGATAGCACAGGCAGCGTCTCCACAAGCGTCGTGTTCTGAAGCTTCTCCTGTAGCAGGGATGCAAGCTGCGTTGCGGAGAGATTCAGGTCCTCCGTGGCCCTGCGCCGACGCTGATTCGCTGGCGGTTGCGTTGATGCAGGCGCAAACTTCAGCGTCACGCTCGTGCCCTGCGTGTAGTCGTTCTCGTCGACTGGCTCAACCAGCACAATCTCCACACGGTAGGCCGGCACGCCAACAAGCCCGGAAATCTCGCGCGCAAGGTCGCGGGTGAAGTTGGTGTAGATGACAGACGCCGTGTCCAGATACACGGCCTGGAATGGAATGTCAAGCTCCAACCCGCTCACAGATGCGCTTGCGTCCTCAAGCGTCAGCTCAGCGAACTTGAACTTGTGCTCGGGCGGGAACTCCATTTGGTTGCCGTTGAGGTCCTTGACGTTCTCGATGACGACTGTGGCGGAGAGGCCGTTGACCTCGTCGTAGCGGAACCCGCGGCGAAGGGACATGGAGATCTTGCGGCCCTCGCACACAATCACCATGTTGTTATTGTTGAAGTCGCGGTCGTAGTCCTCCACCGTCAACGACACCTGGAAGATGAACGGCTGCCGGCACTCCACGTCCTCGTTGAACTGGAACGAGATCTCGTCGCCAGGGAAGAACTCGCCATCCGCGGGCTCCGGGAATCCAAACACGACCGGCGGGTCGCGATCAACGACACCAAGCGCAACGGACGACAGCTTCTCGTCAATGCCATCGGGCATCTCGTTGATGGACGCCTGGCACTGCGCGCGGATGCGGAGGTGGTAGTCGCCCTCAAGCAGCGTGGACGCGTCCCACCATGACGTGATGTAGCCGTACTCGTTCTCGCGCTTGCGGATATCCAGCGCGTCGCCGTTCTCGTCGCGGGCCAGCAGCCAGATGTACGAGTTGACGGGCTTGAACTCGATGACGACCTTCTCCAGGCGATCGTCCTCCAGCCACGTGCGCTCGGCGTGGTCCGGGTTGAAGGCAACGACGCGGATCTGGCCGGGCTTGTAGTCCTGCTCCATCGTCTCCTGGTTGAGGGTGAACGCGCCAGACTCGCCAATCTCGCCAACAAGCTTCACCGGGCTGCACGGCTGCAGGAACTCGGCCTCCAAGTACACGTACTCCACGCTAGTCACCTCGTCCGTGATGTAGCCGTTGTCGGGGTGCCTGTCGGCCTCGCACAGCGACCGCCAGCCAATGGCGACTGGGTCGTACTTGAACTTGTTGGGGCCCTGGTTCACGGTGATGGTGATGTACTTTGCCGAGTTGCCTGGGAAGCCCTCAAAGATGAGTGCCGTCTCCAGCGCCTGTCCGTTGGCTACAACTTCAAGCCCATCTTGGTTCAGCCACGACAGATAAAACAGCTGCGCATGTTGTGGGATGGGACGGGGACCGGAGTTCGGAGGAGTGGAGGAGGGGAGATGAGATGATTGTGAGAACAAAGTGTAAATATGTGGGAACGTGCAGGACACGTGTCTGCTCAACTGTTGCTGACCATACCAGGACAAGGAATGCCGCCACAATGAATGCATGCAATGCAAGCTCAAACACAACCACACAACAACAACCACCGCAATCACGCGACCACACTCACGTTAAAGTCGGAAGTCATGGGTCCGTCGTTCTTGAGCAGGAGCTCAAACACGGCGGGTTCGCCGGGCAGCACGGGCGCCTCTGGCCGCTTCAGAACACTCACACTCGGCTTCTCCAGCTGCACGGTGTTGGGCTCGTGCGGGCACGACGACTGGCCAGAGGTGGTGTGGAAGACGAGCGTGCCGTAGTCGGGGTGCAGGAACACTTGCACATCAAAGACATCCAGTGGATCGGGATCGCCAAGCTGCAAAGTGACGATGACGATTGTGGAGGTGGTGGTGATGGTGGCGGAATGAGCGAATGCTTGCACATGAACAACCGCTTGCACGTGAGCGAAACATACAAGTATTTCACACCAACAAACCTTTATCAAGGCAAACAAGCCCCCAACGCCCACAAACTCCATCAACGCCCACAAACTCCATCAACGCAAGGAAGCACCACCACCACAAGCAAAACTCCCGCGCGTTCACATTTACATTCACATTCACACACACACAAACCACACACATGACACTCACAGTGAATTCGATGTGTGTCCCCGTGGTGACGCCGGCCTCATGCTCCTCGGCTGTCGTTCCTTCGTAGTTGTAGCCCGTGGACAGCTCAAAGCTCATGCCCACGCCAAAGACCTTGAATCCAAACTCAACATCGACACCGGCTGTCACCTCGTGCGTGCGGGAGCTGCCGCCAACGGCCGACTTGGTCTGCTCAAGGTCAAAACCAAACGTGTACGTGGACCCGCCGCCAGAGAACTTGATCGTCTTGATGCTGCGCAAGTCCTGCTTGTCCTGGTCTGACGCCTCTTTGTCGTCCAGGTCTGTGGCGCCGTCAATCAGATCGTGCGGGGCGAGCGAGATGCCCTTGCCTGCGTCATCCTTGATGTGGGCAGCACCAAAGCCGTCGCACCGGTTCACCTTGGACGCTTCGCTCAGCAGCTTCGACGCTTTCTTCGGGTTCTCGATCATGGACAACGGCGGCGCGCAGTCGTGTTCCGCTGAGGTCTTGCTCCACAGGTCCTGCACGGGGTCAAGCGTGCCTGCTGCTGCCTTGTCGCGCACCTCCTTGTTGCGGTCCAGGTTGTCCTCCCACGCCTTGATTGCCCGCTTCAACTCCGCAACTTTCTCCAGCCGGTCAGCCTCCGTCTCATCGTCGTCGTCATCATCGCCCGGCGGCTGTTCGGCGAGAGCGAGCAGCTTGCGCAGGTCCGGCAACTCCTTGTTCTCAATCTCAAACGCAGAGAGCCACGTGATCAGTTCGCTGTTGTCCTGACCCTCGAGGCTCCACTTGACCTTGGTCTCCTTGGCCGCCTGGCACTGCTCCACGTCGAACGACACCTCCTCCGTCTCCAGCCACACCACGTTGAGGGCGGGCACGAGGAACATGTCGGATCGCTCCCCAGCCGTCATCACATCGTCAGAGGTCGTCAGCTCAATCTCAAACGACCACACGCGCTCTGTGCCGTAGTTGTCGTCCGGATCCATGTTGCCAAAGGTCTGGTGGAGTAAAAGAATTGGACAGGACAGAGAGTGGGGTCGCACGGCGACAGCGTTTGTGATTGAGTGAGTGAGTGAGTGAGTGTGTGTGTGTGTGTGGTAAGCAAGGCAAGCTCACGATGCTTCAGTCTCGTCAACTCGAAACACATGCGCGTAATCACGCAAACACACACACACACACGCACGCACGCACCCACACACACACCCACACACACACACACACACACACACACACACACACACACACACACACACACACACACACACACACACACACACACACACACAAACATCCACTGACGTGAGTTTGGTCGACCGTCAGCTTGAACGGGGTGGATTCCGTGTCCGCCACCTTGGTACACACGGCAGCACCGAGGCCAACGCACTGCTGCACACCCGTCTCCACCTTGACGGGAGCAAGCCCCGTGGTGAAGTAGAAGCCATGGTACTCCTCGTGGGTGTGGGAATCCACAAGGAAGTTGGTGTACGCCTTGGAGTAGGTGACGGTGGACAGGCCACCGGGCGGGTCCTGAATGACTGTAAGCGGCTGATAGCGCGGGAAGGGCACGCTGAAGTACTTGGAGATGACCTTGTCGCCAACCACCACCACCTTCTCGTACACGCTGACGGGGTCCTGTGGGAGATTGTGCATGGTGACGCGGAAGAGCTTAGAGTACGGGTTCTCGGGGTTGACGGCCTGTGGGTTGGTCTCCGGCTCGCCAGTCATGATGTTCAGCTCAATGCGCGTGTTGGAGTACACCGTCTCGCCATTCTTGAGCTCTTCGTCCATCTTCACGTCCATGAGGCACGTGTCGTAGCACAGCTTCAGCTTGTTCAGCTGCTTGTCCGTGAGGGAGGTGGTGGCGTTGAGTGCATCAACCGTGGCTGGTGATTCGCCCAACTGGTTCTCAACCTCAATCTGGCCCGGCACCGCATCGCACGTGCCCACGCCTTCGCCGTAGTCCTCAATCACCTTGACGGTCGCCTTCAGCTCCACGTTCTGCTTGATGACGTGCAGCGGGCGATCGCCCTCTGTGCTGTTACAGTTGTGCTTCTCCTCCTTGTCAAACTCAACGCTCAGCTGCGGTGGCGGGTGGTACTCGAATCGCACCGTCTTCTTGTCCTCGTCGTCCTCCTGCGGATTGCGCAGGTCCAAGTACAGCGACCGCGAGTTGCCCAGCTTGGCCGAGAAGTAGCGCGTGATCTCGCCGCGAACCTCGTAGTTGCGCGTAATCTCCTTGAAGCGCACCGTGATGATCTGCGCTGGCAGCGTCCACTTGGACAGCCGGTCAGAAATGGTGCGTGATTTCACCCATGTTGGGCACGCGTCATACCGGAACTCCATCACCGCATCGCCCAGGTTGAGGTTGCACAGCCCGCCAGCAATGTCGACGGTCGCCGTATCAGAGGTTGTGTCCTTGAAGTTGATGTTCTCCCAGAACTTGCCGTCCGTCACGTCGTAGTATGGTGTGCGCTCGAGCGAATTCAGAGCATTGATGGTCTGCAGGATGCCTGAAGGGGCGTTGGCTGCGTCCTGGTCGTAGGTGACGCGCTCAAACGTGTGCGACGAGTTGCCGTACGCAAGGCTTACGGTGACAGATGTGCCGAGAACAGCGCGCACGAGGTAGCGGCCCTTGGAGTCTGTCACATCGCAGTTGATGAGGGTGTTGGCCTGGTGGCGGTCGTACAAGCACACCTCAACGTCCTTGAGCGGGCAGCCGTCAGGAAGGCCCTCGTGCTCCGTGCCGCCAATGGAGACGATACCACTGAAGGGGAGGGAGGTGGTGTCTTTGACGTTGACCTGGTGGTCGAAGCGAAGGTGTTCCATGATGAGCGTGGTCTCTGTGCATGCGATGCCACCGCAGGTGAAGGTGTGCTTGATGTTGCCCGTGGTCTTGGAGAAGCGGAGCGTGATGCGGTGGCGGTTGCCTTGCAGCTGGTCTGTGAGGATGTGGATGAAGAACTTGCCGTCCTCGTTGGTGACGCGGCGGCCGCGGATGGGCCCAATCTCGTACTCAATCTCCACGTGCTCAACAGGGAGGTGGATCTCCTTGGAGTCGATGGTAATCTGGCCCTCAAGCTGGCTCTCCCACTGGATCGTGTACGATGTGCACGTCTGGCCCGAACTGTACCCGCCCTCCGTGTACCAGGTGGGGTTGGTCGCGGCAATGCAGTACGTCTGCGTCCTGCCTGGCTCTGGGCCTGGGATGCGGCGACTGAAGTCAGGATCCAGGCTGGCGTGAATGGAGCTGGCTGGTGTTCCTGTTGTCACGGCGCTGTTGATGATGCCACACACGCCCGAGTCCACCATGGTCAGGACACACGACCCGGAATCGGTACACGCCTGCTCGCAGTCGTCCTGCGTGCCGTCGAAGATGTAGGAGCCAGACACGCCCGTGCCAGACACGGTGACGCGCTCGTACGACACGGCCTTCTTCTCGCCGCTTTTGAGGGCAGCCGTCTCCACAACACGCAGTTGATGGCACACAAGCGTGTCGTCGCCTTTCGTCTGCACAACAAAGGCGATGCACCAGGAGGAGCGGATGTCACACAGGTCCTTGCACTCCGTCACGGATGCGACGGGCGAGGATGTGCCGGGGTAGTAGCGGTTCTCGTCGTCAGGCACACCCTGCGGCGCAGCCGTCGTGGTCGTGCTTGTGGACGCAAAGTGGCCTCCTGCAAAGCAAAAAAAGAGAATGCGTTTGTTGAGATGTGGTGGCGGGGTAAATACATGCTTGTGTAGGCATGTATGTCAGTGTGTGTGTGTGTGTGTGTGTCTGTGTGTGTCTGTGTGTGTGTGCATGTGTGTGTGTGTCTGTGTGTGTGTCTGTGTCTGTGTGTGTGTAGGCGTGTGTTGGGATGTGTGTAAAAACAAAGTGGCAGGGACAAATCATTGCAGTTGTGTGCTCAACCCACCATCGCGCTGGAGCTCCCGCGGGTACTTCAGGCGCATCTCCCCTTCCTCAACCGCAGTGCTCAGGCGGAGATAAAACGACCCTGCGTGAGACGGAAGCAGACAGTCATGAATGGAGTAGCGGTTAGACCTGATGGAGGCTGAAGTGTCGGAGGGCGAGTGTTGCGCGAGTGGTGGGTGAGTGGGCAAATGCATATGTGCGTGTGTGCGTGTACATTCCACTCACCGTCTGGCAGCTTGTAGTTGATGGACGAGTCGACCTCGGCATAACCGCCCGCTGTCAAGGAAAGAAGGGTCGGCAACGATAGGTAATGGGATGGTGTGTGAGTTCGTGGTTTCGTTCCCGCAACACAAACAATGGCCCATATAGTATGCGTGCACACGTTCGCAATCGCATAAACACACACGCGTACACACACACACACACACACACACACACACACACACACACACACACACACACACACACACACACACGCACACACACACACACACACACACACACACACACACACGTACACACGACGCGCACAAGCAAACCAACACACATGCGTGTCAGCACTCACGTGACTGGATGGTGAGATCGTCGGAGATTGAGAGGGGCTTCTGGACGGCACCGCAGGCCTGCTGCTCCGTCACATCGAAGCGGGCGGCGAGACCGACACCATTGCGCGTGAATGTGAACGCAGACTCGCATTGACTCTGGTCTGCCCACTCAAACAGGATGTGACCCTTGAACTGCTTCACTTTGAAGTCCGTGGGTGCACCTGAGGAGCCACCACAGCCGCAGGGGGTCTGTGCATCTGTGCTCCCGCTGTAGTACACGGTCTTGGTGAAGTGAGTCAGCTCGTCACCGTTCGTATGCAGCGGAGTCACCGTCACCTGCACAATGTGTGTGTGTGTGTGTGTGTGTGTGTGTGTGTGTGTGTGTGTGTGTGTGTGTGTGTGTGTGTGTGTGTGTGTGTGTGTGTGTGTGTTTTGAAACGTGTGAAAAGGGGGGGGGGGGTCGTGGTCGTGGACAGAGTGGACGAGGGGCCGTGGGGCAACAGGCAGTGCGATCATGCGGGTATCAGTTTGCTGCCACACTCGAATATAAAGACAACTTCAGCATTCCCTGTACGTACGTGATAGCGCGTGCCAGCATCGAGGCCTGACGCTGTGTGGGATGAGATGGAGCCAGACACGGTCTTGGGGTAGCCGGCAACGTTCTCGTACGATGACAGGTCGTACGCCCACCGTGCAACGGAAATCTGGTTTGCAGGATGGTGGTGGTGGTGGTGGTGATGATGGCGATGGTGGCGATGGTGGCGATGTGGTCGAGTGAGACACGCTGGATCAGAACAACGCTTGTATCGAACAAACAACGTGGAAAGAAATGACAGGTGCAATAACAGGACGCGGACACACCAACATCACCACCAAACCAGCACCAATGCAAACAAACCTGGTACTTTGGGAACTCGCTTGTCCAGCCACCAGAAAGGGTGAAGTACAGAGACGTGAGGTAGACAGACATGCTGCTGGAAGGGGGTGCAACTGCAAGGTGAGAGCAAACAGCCAGGCGCGTCACACCATGCAAGCGTGAGTGTCATTTGCGTTGGTGTGAGGATAGGGGGTGTAGGGGGGAGGGTGTGAGGACGAAGGGAGGGTTCGATCCGCAACAACACCCACACATATATACGAGACGCGAGTACATGCACACTAATAATTTGCACACATACACGACTGCACAAAGCACACACACACTAACAATCACGCATACACATACACGCACGTGCACGCAAGCATATAAAAACGCACCGTAGCACTCGCCGCCGGAGAGCGTGCCGTACTCGCAGTTGCACGTGAACGAGCCGTCGGTGTTGCTGCAGATGGCCCCATCAGGACAGTTGTGCTGCCCAGTGGCGCACTCGTCAATGTCTGTTCAAGGTCACGGGGATCAACAGAGACAGGCGTGAGGGTAACGGCATGTGGGTGTCGTGAACGCGTGGAACACCAACAACATGGTGGGTTCTCCTTCTCGCAACATCGCCTCGTTTCCCAATTCCAAGGAGCAAGCAACAAGTTGCGAGCAGCAAGTAGCAAGCTGCAAGTTGCAAGTTGCACACAGAAAGCAGCGAGCACAAAGCTATTCACACCTTCGCATTGCTTGGCTGTGCCTGACCAGCCTGGATCAAGTCCGGACCAGCCGCACGTGCGGGATTCACTGCCAAAGAGGCTGAGCTTGTAGCCCGTGTTGCACGATGCGTAGGTGCATGTGTCGCCTGTTCATGAGGAGGTGTTGATGAAGGGATTTGGTGAGTCAGAATCGTGAGTACGATCATGTGACGGTGGTGTCGAGATGGTGTTGAACTTTGGCATGTGCTGTTGGTTGGAGAAAGGTGTACATGAGACACACTGTACGCGAACACGTGTACTTGCAGCCAACCCATCAGCAACAGGGCATGTTGTTGTTGTTGTTGTTGTTGTTGTTGTTGTTGTTGTTGTTGTTGTTGTTGTTGTTGTTGTTGTTGTTGTTGTTGTTGTTGTTGTTGTTGTTGTTGTTGTTGTTGTTGTTGTTGTTGTTGTTGTTGTTGTTGTTG